AGGGGAGTATTATGGGATGGGTGGGGGAGTAGAGCATTGTGGGATGGGTGGGGGAGCATTATGGGATGGACGGAGGGCTTTATGGGATGGGTGGGGGAGTAGAGGATAATGGGATAGGTGGAGGGCATTATGGGATGGTTGGCATCATGGGATGGGCGGGGGAATATTATGGGATGGATGGGTGGCATTATGGGATGCATGGATGGCATTATGGGATGGGTGGGTGGGTATTATAGGATGGGTGGCATTATGGGATGGATGGGGGTTATGTGGTAAAGGTGTTTACGGGTTCTGGGGCTTATGGGGTGGGGGATTATGGGATGGAGGGGGTGTAGGGTGGGGGGTTTTGGGGTCGGGGTTGTGGAGTGGGGGATTATGGGGTGGGAGATTGTGGGGTGGGGGGTATTGGGCTGGGGGACGCAACGACACAACGATACAGTGACACACTGACACAACGACACAAGGACACAACCACATGACACAACGACATGAGGACACAACAACACAACGATACAGCAACACAACAATACAACCACATGACACAATGACATGAGGACACAACAACACAACGATACAGCGACACAGTGACACAACACAGTGACGCAATAACACACCAGCACACAATGACACAACGACACAATGACAGAATGACACAATGACAGAATGACACAATGACACAATCACACACCAGCACACAACAACACAATAACACACAACACAATGACACAATAACACACCAGCACACAGTGACACAAGGACACAATGACACAAGGACACAATAACACACCAGCACACAATGAAACAATAACACAGTGACACAATGACACAATGACACAACAACAAAATAACACACCAACACACAATGATGCAAAGACACGACGACACAATAACACACCAGCACACAAGGACACAACAACACAAGGACACAATAACACACCAGCACACAAGGACACAAGGACACCACGACACACCAGTACACAACAACACAAGGACACAACAACACACCAGCACACAAGGACACAATGCCACAACAACACACAAGGACACAAGGACACAACAACACACCAGCACACAATGACACAACGACACAACAACCCAGCACACAAGGACACAAGGACACACCAACACACAAGGACACAAGGACACAAGGACACAAGGACACAATAACACACCAGCACACAATGACACAATGACACAACACACCAGCACACAAGGACACAAGGACACACCAGCACACAATGACACAATAACACGACACACCAGTACACAAGGACACAATGACACAACAACACACCAGCACACAAGGACACAAGGACACAACGACACAATAACACACCAGTCACAATGACACAACATGACACACCAGCACACAAGGACACAAGAACACAACGACACAACAACACACCAGCACGCAACAACACAAGGACACAAGGACACAACGACACAATAACACACCAGCCACAATGACACAACAACACGACACACCAGCACACAAGGACACAAGGACACAACGACACAACAACACACCAGCAGACAACAACGCAACGACACAACGACACACCAGCACACAATCCCACCCACCCCCGCTCCCTCAGCACTCACCTGGATGCACAGCAGCCCTTTGGCCGCCAGCGCGTCCTCCCCAGCCCCGTTGGGGTAGCAGTAGAAGCTGGCGGCCATCACTGGGTATCGAGAAGCCACCAGCAGCCCGCTGCCCAGCACCTTCAGCCCCCCGGCGCGGAGCCCCCCGGCGCCCACCCCGTGCAACACGTGGGGGTAACGGAGCTTCAGCTGGCGGCACAGCAGCGCCTCGGCCACGGGGTCAAACACCTCCTGCAGGCACACGAAGTCTGCGGCCGGGGGGAAGCGCTCCCACAGCTGGGGGGAGGAACCCAGCCAGGTGCGGGGTGGGGGTGAGGGTGGGGGGGTCGGGGGGTCTCTGCGTCTCGGGGTGGCCCCGGTTGGGTCCCATGGGGTGTCGTTGTCCATTGGGGTGGCCCTGAGCATTGGGGTGGTCCTGGTTGGGTCCCTCTGGGGGTCCCTGTGCTTTGGGGTGGCCCCGGTTGGGTCCCATGGGGTGTCGTTGTCCATTGGGGTGACTCTGAGCTCATCCCATGGGGTGTCCCCGTCCCTTGGGGTTGGGTCCTTTGGGGTGACCCGGGTCCCAACCCTCAGGGTGTGCGTGGTTGGATCCGTTGGGGTCTCCATGGTTGGGTCCTTTGGGGGGTCCTTGACCGCATGCCATGGGGTGTCAGTGGTTGTTGGGCCCCATGCGGTGTCCTTCACCCCATCCCTGGGGATGTCGATGACTGTGTCCCTTTGGTTGTCCTTGGATGGCTCCGTTGGGGTGATCCAGGCCCCCTCCTTTGGGGCACCCATGGGTGGCTCTGCTGGGGTGGCCCAGATGCTCTCCTTTGGATCCCGTGGGATCTCCACAGTCACACCTATAGGGATATGTGGGGTTGTGACCTTTGGGATCTCCACAGCCAGACCCACAGACAGCACCACCCCATGGGATCGCTGTGGTGACACCCATTGGGTCCTCCGTGGTGACACCCAAAGGGATCTCCGTGGTGACACCCATTAGGACCTCCATGGTTACACCCATTGGGTCCTCCAGGAATACACTCATTGTGTCCTCCATGACTACACTTTTTGTGACCTCCATGACTGCACCTTTTGGGTCCTCCACGGCTACACCCATTGGGTCCTCCATTACTACACTTTCTGGAACCTCCATGGCTACACCCGTTCGGTCCTTCATAACTACACCTTTTGGGTCCTCCATGGTAACACCTCTCGAGACCTCCATGACTACACCCATTTTGACCTCTAGGACTACACTTTTTGGGTCCTCCATGACTACACCTTTTAGGATCTCCACGCTTACACTCCTCAAGACCTCCAAAGTTACGCCCATTGGGTCCTCCACAGTTACACCCATTAGGACCTCCGTGGCTACACCCATTGGGACCTCCACAGTTACACTCCCCAAGACCTCCATGGCTACACCCACTGGGTCCTCCATGATTACACCTTTTGGGTCCTCCACAGTAACACCTCTCAAGATCTCCATGGTGACACCCTTTGGGACCTCCATGACTACACCTTTTTGGTCCTCCATGACTACACCTTTTAGGACCTCCATGACTACACCCATGGGGACTTCCATGACTACACCTTTTAGGATCTCCACAGTTACACCCATTGGGCCCTCCATGGCTACACCCATTGGCTCCTCCAAGGCTACACCTTTTCGGTCCTCCATGACTACACCCATTTTGACCCCCATGACTACACCTTTTTAGTCCTCCATGACTACACCTTTTAGAATCTCCATGGCTACAGCCCTCAAGACCTCCATGGTGACACCCATTGGGTCCTCCACGACAGCGCCTTTTCAGTCCTCCATGACTACACTTTTTGGGACCTCCATGACTACACCTTTTAGGATCTCCATGGTGACACTCAATGGGATCTCCACAGTTACACCCATGGGACCTCCATGACTACACCTTTTCGGTCCTCCATGACTACACCTTTTAGGACCTCCATGGCTACACCCATTGACTCCTCCGTGACAACACCTTTCGGAACCCCTTTTTCTCACCTCCCCACCCCTTCTTCCCCCCTCTCCATCCCCCCACCCCCCACACACCCCCATACACCCCCCACACACCCCCATACACCCACCTCCATCCCCACGCCGCTCCGTCCCGGCTCTCCACGTCCCCCCGTACCCCCATCCTCCACCGTCACCCACGAGGGGCTGCCGATCCGTGGGCCCATCGGGTGCCAAACACCGGCCCAAGTATTTCGCCCTCGACGCCGTCTGCCCCAAATTGCTGAACTTGGCGATGCCGCTGGGCAGCAGGCAGACGTTGGCGCTGACGAAGGTGAAATCCCGGCGCTGCCGGCCGTCCCACGGCACCGCGGTTTCGGCCGAAGCCCAAGAGCTGTAGGCAAACTGCCTTCGTGTCGCCTGCGCCGGCAACCAGAGCAGCAGCCCCACAGCCGCCAGCGGCAGCGCCAGCACCAACAGAACCGCCAGCACCGAACCCAGAACCGCCCTCCTGCTGATGTCCAGGCAGCGCTGCCGGCGGCGCCGCTCGGCGGTGCTGGGTTGGAGGTCCAGGAGTTGGTTGAGGGCGAAGGCGGCGGGGAAGAGCAGAGCCTGAGCCACGGCGTTCAGCGCAGCCAGG